TGAGACCTCAAAGTATTTCAAAGCAGTCTTAGTTTAGTTTTACCACGAACTGGTATTTATGATCAGAGTTTAAAAAAACTTTATGATACTATCATTATTTTCACTATTATTAATAACAATAATAGTTATTATAACTATTTTACAGTATTACAGTTATAATAATACCTTTCTGTATCTGAAGTTTCATAGTTTCGTGTCTCAATATTTTACCTTTTTCATGACCAGTAGTGAAATATACAGCTGAGGGTGAAGTAACTAAAGGGTGAAAGTGTACAGTGCAGTGTTAGCATTCATGGTGTTTAACTTTTAACAGTTAAGAGAGATGATAAAAATGGCAAACCAACAAGTGAACATCTGTAAATACTACAGTACTGAAATTTATCTTAAATAAAGCACTGTAAGTTTTAAAATGCATAATCTATGATCAAGGTTGAAAAAAAAAATTTATTTTATACATGTACTATAATTACACTTTTTAGTTATTATTTATACTGTTTCAACATCCCCAGCCACTACCACCTTAACATTCCCTTGTAGCAAAGGACAGAATGAGGGACAACTAGTAGCTAGTAAGCCACTAACAACTTTTAAAATAATTATTCCCTCATACCACTGCACAGAGTGAGGGAAAACTAAGTTAAGTTTTCTTACTTTTTAAAGTAATCTTTTGCACAAAAACTGAGAGCATTTCAAGGTATTCTTTGTTTAGCTCTATCCTAAAAGCTAAGTAAACAGCATTTTTCATTCGTCTTCCATCCCTTGAGGTTTCAAACATAGTTTTGCTAATTCTTCCTCTGGATCAGAGGCAGAAAATTCAAGGACAGGCCAGGTGCCTAAGCTCAAAGGTACACAGACAGAGATTAGCAGTCAGTGACTGCCATGGAAAAAGTCACCACAAGACATACCAATGTGAATATCAAGATAGATGGATACTTATGCTTTGTTTAAAACAGGAAAAATTTTTAGATGAAAAGCTTAATATGGGTTTTTTTGTGCTAAAACTTTTAAGTCTAAAATCCTATTTAAAAAAATAGGAAATAATTATGCAGTACTGTTGTAACAATTAAATTAACCCCTTTGTTCCCAAGATCTCATTTTATTAGTAAATTCAATTCTTTTTACTTTCAGAAGTGCATTCTTGCCTGATAAAATTACAGTTACATTTAATTGATTACAGCTAGCTTCAGAGTCCTTTTTCACTCACGTTTCTCTTCCTGAAGTGTCATAGTTTTCAGTTTTCCTTCCAGTTCTTTTCCATGACCAGCAGTGGACAGTTTGGTGGAGAGTGAAGTATCTAAGGGAAAAGGTACAAAGAGGAAAGGACAGAGTGAGGACAACTAAATTGGGTTTAATTTCCTTTCAAACAAAATATTTGAGAAGTCAAAGTATTTCAAAGCAGTCTTAGTTCAGTTTTACCATGAAGGTTAATTTAACAGCATCTTTTACTCACCTTTCATACTTTGAAGTTTCATGAGTAGCTCATCTAGTTCTTCTTCAGATGGAGGCAAGATGCCTAAAAGCAAAGGTATATGAAAACAGAGATAAACATTCACTGACTTTTCTACAGATAAAGAGTTAGAAAGTGGCACACCAACTTGTATTTATGGATAGATTGCCTTTATGAACTATTAAACCAAAACAGCTGTTCAAAACATCAA